TAAAATTAATGGGAGTTGTTTAAGTTATTTAAACCTAGGTTTGATTGTTTTTTAGCGTCATAGAGCTTATGCTTTCATTAATGGCAAATTTGGTTGTTAAAGTGTTATTAATGGTATTGTGCAAGGTTGTTGGAAGCCATTAATGGTTATAGATAAGTTTAATGAAGTTAGTTGGAACCAATGGGAGTTAATACACCTAATGGTTGAGATTAAACTCATGGATTTGGAATTTGGGTGATTAAAGTATTGAAAATAGGAAGTTGGAAGTATGTTTATAATGATATTAATGGTGATTGGTATGATTAATTATAAATTAATTGTATTGTGCACCATTCAAGCCTGAAAAGCTTTAAAAGTGAGTTGTATTTGAGGGATAACCTTTGATCTTTCAAGGGTTTAAGGTAATTGGGTAAAATCTAATTAGTGCATTTGTTTGTTGATTGATTGTAAAGTTTTAGAAACTTGATTTAAATATGTGAAAATCACTTTTCATAATTATTATGATATAAATTATGCTTGGAAATGTCTAAATGCAAGTATGCCATTTGAAATTGATGGTTGAAGTGATTTTGAATAAAGTGAGATTTAATAGGATTTTTATGTTGATAATATAGATAAGTAATGTAATAAATGTATGATGTGGTTTTTAAATGTGAAAGTTTATATTTAATTTCCTAAATAAGTTGAAACAACATGAGATTGTGTGATGGAGTGATGATTATGTGGCATGTGATAATGTGTAACATCCACAAATTCTAGAACTAGAATTTAAGGATTAAATAGGGGTAAATTGATAAATTAGAGCATTTATTGAATTATTATTGGTATTTCTAGACCACTGATGGGTTTGTTAGATCATTGGATAGCTTTAAAAGTGGATTAGAATGGAGTTTAGGCCAACTAGGCCTAAAAGCAAGACCAAATTTTGAGTTGGACTTGCTATGCCATCTACTGCGGTAGATGCACCACGCATAGTGGCGGAGGAGATAGATTTTAATTAAATTTATCACAAGAACAATGTGAAAATAGAAGGGAAAAAGAGGGAAACTAGAGAGGTGATAAAGAGGGAGCTTTTGACTATTAAGGTTTCAATCTTTAGCATCTTTAAAAGCTTTTTTAAAGCTAGATACACATTTTAGTAAGCTTACAAGCTCTCCTTCCTCTTCTCATTTCAAATTTTTTGAAGTTTTGGGTAAGGTTGGATGATGATTTCAACCTTCCTTAAGTTTGTATCAAACTTATTGAGTTCATTGAAATTACTAAGAGTTAATTTAAGTTTTTGTACCAGTGTTTAATGATTTTATGATAATTTAGAAGTTTAGGCTAAGGTTGGATGAATCCTAAGCTTAATTTGGAAGTTTAAGAATAATGTGGGTTGTGATATAGTATTGTCCAAGTTTATGGTTGTTAAATGGGGCTAATGTAATGTGGTTGGAGTTATGGTTAGGCTAATGATAAATTTTGCAAAGTGTAGATAGCAAATTTATAGCGTAAAAGTAAGTATACCAAAGTTGTGAATTGATGATTAGCATTTAATTTTATAGATTAATTGTTGTTCAGACCATTGAGCTAGTGGAGCTAGAGGTGTAGTGAATTGCCATGGGCAACCTTTTTTGTAAAAAAATGTTTGAGGTTACCGAATGATATAATCCATGTATTTTCTTGTTTGGATGATTATGGATTTTGTGAAAAGTTATTTTACTATTTTGCTATGTAATGTACAAGTATAAGTGTATGTTTGTGATTTTGGAATCCTATATGCAGTGGGTATAATTTCAAAGGTTTATTATAAATATATATAAATATATGTCATTGTAAAAATAGTTATTAGATACTTGAGTAATACTAGTTTATGGTCTTGAGTAATGTATTATAGAATTAAATTTATGTGTTTGAGATTGGTGCATAACTTACTTTAGTATATATGTTCACATGATCATATTGTGAGAGGATAGAAGGTCACCTTAGGGGAGGATAGTTGTAAATTCATATCGTACCTATTAGTACCTTGGGTGGCCTCGATACTCAATTTTACTTGTTTGGAAGTTTCAGTACTGCTATTGAGATAGATTAGGCATATGACACCCCAATTATTCAAAAGGAGGGAATTTATAGTTTGAAAATAGGTAAAGGCACCTTTAGCCGGGCTACCTCCTATAATTGATAAGTTTGGATTAGTCTAGTCATATAAACTTAGTTTTATTAAATTATTAGCCCATAGAGGATATAAAGTGAAAGTGAATGATTATGCATTGTATGGATGAGAAATTTTCTGGTGGTCTTTACTAATTGTATATTTATATTACCACTTTATATGCTCATTTACTTTCCTAACTTGTTTGTAGATAGATTAATTTTTTTTTTTACTGAGACATTATACTCATTCCCTTAATTATAATTTTACAGGTAAAAGCTCCGCTAGAGGGCAAAGGAAAGGAAGAAGTTGCAAAGGAATATGAGTGTTATTAGTTTTATAGCCTCTTCTTTTAGTTGTAATTAACAAATATATATATATATATATATGAGATTGACATTGCCAACTTAGAATATATATGCATTCTTTTGGTTGCACTTGCTTGAAATTTATGATATTATTTTTGGTATATTTTACCCTAAAATGACATGAATGTTATGAAAATTATTGTAAATGGCCAAAATACTAATGCAAGTGCGAGTATTACTTTGATTATATACTTGTTATTGGCCATTATGATGTAAGATGAAATTTATGCCAATGCACCATGATTAACGTGGAATTGAGATTTTGATGTCTATATTGTGTTTAAGATGTTTGTGTGAGTATTTATCTATTCAGTCAAGTCTATTTGGCCCACATTAGTGAGCTTGAGTGGACCTTAGGCTATGGCACTTAGTTTATGGTTTTAGGCACCCTTGCTCTTAGTTTAAAAACAAAATGTGGCTTTTTTGCACCTGGGTATCCATTTTGTTTTGAAACTAGTGTTAACAGTTAGGTGGCTAAATTAGCTACATGTGGATACTTGAATCACTTTGATCGAATGTTAAACGATGAAACAGTGTACTCTAGAAGTTAGCTCTGGAATGCTATCATGACATAGCTAGTGCACTGCGGTGCAGGGTAAGTAAATCTTGGCATGTGGTACAAAGAGGGGAACTAACCCTTATGCGTCATCCACTTTAAAAAAATGAGTGTTGTGTCATCTTTTATTTGTTTTCTTAATTTCCATAGTTCTATGACTTCTTAATTAAATAATTTAGCTAATTTTGAGCTCAAATAATTTTTAAAAAAGGTTTCTTTTAGATCCCAATCTTTCAACTATTTTCTTTTAACTTTTAGCTTTTAACCCTTTACATTATGGTAACTTAATATTAGGATTTATCTAATCCTAATTACCATAATAGAATGTTGTATGGTATGTTTTAAAATGTTAAGGTAAACATTACATTATGCAATAAGAATTATGTGGTGTGATAAATGTGGTTGAAATATATGGTATATTAAATACCTTGAGCTTGATGTAATAAATAATGACATGCTATGTGTGTACTAAGCATATTTGTTGCATTATTATGATTCGTGAGAGTTCACCTTGAAAGAGGACTAGTCATATATAATATACATGGTAAAGTCACCATTTAGAGCTCAATAGCTAGTCTATTCACATCTTACTTATTTGTCAAGGGACTGTCCCACTATTTCTTGAGAACATAGCCTTAATTTATCTCTACTTGTTCCCCAATGAGACTAGTTTAGGGTTACAGCACCCCACTTGTTCACTGAGGGGGAACCGATCATTCAGTTGTATTTATATTGATTTTACTTGGCTTACACCACTTAATCAAAGAACTTATTGGAGCAGCGAATAATATGGATATTGTCTTAGCCTAAATGGCACAGAAACCAGATGAAAACAAACAATTCCTATTCTTTCAAGTCTGCCTCTTTCACAGCCACAAGGGTCCTATTTATAGTCCTAGAATTCATGAAACTGAACCATACAAATTTAAAGGGGGGTTACAAAAATTAAGGGGATGTTACAAAGAGTTTATTATGCTCTATTATGTGTGTCTCTCGTTTCTGCTTCATTATGTGTGTGCCTTTCGTTTCAGCTCGTTTCTGCTCTTTTCGTTTCATCCTCCTCGGGTTAGGAAGAACTCGCCCTCGAGTCAAATTCATCATCTTCATCAACGTACGGAGATAAATCAGCAACATTGAAGGTGGCAGATACACCATAAGAACCAGGTAATTCCACCTTGTAAGCATTGTTGTTGATCCTTTGTACTATCTTGAATGGACCATCAGCTCTTGGGGACAACTTGGTGTTTGGCTGTTTAGGAAATCGTTCCTTTCGTAGATGTATCCAAACCAAGTCTCCTACCTTAAAAGTCTGCTGTCTTCGATGCTTGTCACGTTGAGCTTTGTATCTCAAATTTTGCTTTTGGATTCGCTCGCGGACTTGCTTATGTAACTTCTTAATTTCCTTAGCCCTTTGGTCAGCATCAGAGCTATATTGCTGCTTATCAAATGAAGGGGTCAAGTCTAGTGGACTAAGGGGACGAGTGCCATAAACAACTTCAAACGGACACTTCCCAGTTACTTGGTTAATAGAGTTATTATAAGCAAACTCAACTTGAGCAAGAATAAGATCCCATTGCTTCAAATTTTTCCCCACAAAACTGCGAAGAAGATCACCAAGAATCCTATTTATAGCTTCAGTTTGACCGTCTCTTTGGGGATGACTAGCACTGCTAAACTGGAGCTTAATTCCCATCTTCTTCCATAACGTCCGCCAAAAGTGGCTAAGAAACTTCACATCACGGTCAGAAGTGATAGTTTTAGGAATGCCATGAAGACGCACAATCTCCTTAAAGTACAAGTCTACTACTTGAACAACATCGTTGGTCTTCTAGCATGGGATGAAATGGGCCATTTTTGAGAAACGATCCACAACTACCATGATAGAATCTTTTTGCCTTTGAGTCCGTGGTAAACCCAGAACAAAATCCATAGTTATATCTTCCTAAGGTGCTTTTGGAATTGGCAGAGGCATGTATAGTCCAGTATTTTGACCCTTGGATTTAGCCAAGTGACAAATTCTGCATCTCTGCATATGCCTGTTGACATCCTGTTCAAGTTGAGGCCAGTAAAAGTTCTCCTTCACTAGGTTAATTGTCTTATCTCGTCTAAAATATCCAGCTAATCCACCATCATATGCTTCCCAAATTATGGCTTCTCTCAAGGAACCCTGTGGAATATAAAGGGTTTTACCTCGAAATAAAAACCCATCGTGTCTATAGAACTGGTGGAAAGGTTGGTTTATAGTTGCTTCCCACACTCCTTGGAAATCAGGATCATCCTGATACAACTCTTTAACAAGGTCAAATCCAACAACATTGTTTTGCAGTGTTGCAAGTAGCACATGGCGACGACTAAGGGCATCAGCTACGGAATTCAAAGTTCCAGCCTTATGTTTGATAAGGAATGGATAAGACTGTAAGAGTTCACTCTAACGAGCATGTTTGTGACTGATCTTCTGCTGGGAATTTAAATACTTGAGAGCTTCATGATCAGAAAAAAGTATGAACTCTTTATTCAAGAGATAATGACCCTCTATTTTTTGAAATTCCATTTTAAACCCTAACCTTTCCTAAAATTACACTTTTTCCCCTTGATTTTACCTGAATTCCATTTTAACCCCTATATTTTCCATAAATTTCAATTTGACCTCATAATTCTTCAAGAATCTCTTTTTTACCCCCTAAACTGTCCAAAATTCCCATTTTGCCCCTAACATTTCAAAAAAATCTCACTTACCCCTATATCCTTCAAAGTTTCCATCTGCACCCCAATCTTTCCTAGATCCCTAGCCTTGAACACCTATCTAAAATGCCTCCAAGACGTAGACATGTGCACGAGGTTGAGATGGAAGAGATGAGACGTAGGATTCGAGAGTTGGAAGCCACTGTGGAATTGCAAGGAACTCTGTTATACAACAACAGAGAAAACTTAGAGGGAGATTCGGGAAGCAGCAGTTCGTCATCCACCGACAAACGCCGCCGTCCACGACAACAACAATTTTGCCCTAATGATATCAAGGTCGAAATTCCTAAATTCAAGGGAAGACTCCAGCTAGACGAGTTTGTAGATTGGCTGCAAATTGTTGAACGAGTATTTGAATACAAGTAGATTTCAAATGCGCAGAAAGTCAAAATTGTCGCCCTCAAAGTCAAGAAACATGCTTCTATTTAGTGGGAAAACCTCATACGGAAGTGAGAACGTGAGGGAAAGCGCAAGATTGAGACCTAAGAGAAAATAAAATGCCAGCTCACCAGGAAATTTCTACTAGATCATTACCACCAGGATAATTTTATCCAGTTGTAAAATCTTCGACAGAGATCTTTATTTGTAGAAGAATATACTAAAGAGTTTGAACAACTCATGATGAAGTGTGATATTCAGGGGAAGGAGGAGCAAATAATAGCCCGGTACCTTACAGGCTTAAACACAGATATCAATCGTCCAGTCCAACTTCAACAATATTAGACCTTGGATGATGTCATCCGTCTGGCCATGCGTGTTGAGAAGCAGATGCCCAAGAGATCCACTTTCCAACCTTCATCCTCTAGGAGTTATCCAGAAGGCCGTAAGGCAAAATTTTAACAGACCAAGCCCTCAAGCAAGCCACAACCTATTGCTATACGCAAACCACCATCCAATGCTGCCAAGGAATCTGGTTCTAAAGCAATCAAATGCTTTAAAAGCCAAGGATTTGGTCACATTGCTGTGGACTGTCCTACTCAAAGGGTTGTCACTATTCGGGAAGGATCAGAGTATGAAGCACTTGAAGAAGATGAGAAGGACATTGAGTTCTACGGCATTGATCCCGTATATGATGAGGAGGTCACACCTGCTGATCAAGGAGAAGCATTGGTGCTTAGACGAAGTTTGTATACAACAGTGAAGCTCATTTGTTGAGTTGGTGAAGCTTGTAAGGTTGCGGATGATCTTGTGTTGGCAACTTCAATTTCTCTACCATGTAGTCAGATACTATATTTTCACAGCTTCCACTGTCAATGATGACATTACAAACTTTTCCTTAGGCCATGCAACGAGTGTGAAAAATGTTACAGAAAGATTTAGGGCAAAAATGTAATTTATAAAAATTTAGCTGACTGGGTACAGTGACGTGGCAACTATGACACGTGGCAGAAAACTACTGGGCTGACCTGTCGTTGACTGGTCAGACAGATGACGTGGAAGCTGATGTCAGCGTCTTTAACATTCGGATGGCACGTGAGGCACATAGACTGGTGGCGAGGCAAGTGGTCTTTTGACGGTGGCGGGTGACGGCGCATGCTGTATTTTTCGGTGATGGAAAACCTCTTTTTCCACATTTTCAAACCTCTTGAGCACGATGGTGATGTTAGTTTTTTTAGAAAATGCCTGGATTGCAAAACGCGAAGACGTCAGGGACTCCTCCTCTGAATCTCTCTTCTCTCCGGCGTACTTTCTCAACTGTAACTTACTCTCTCGCTCTCTGGACTAGCTCTGATACCAAAATGGCACAGAAACCAGATGAAAATAAATAATTCCTATTCTTTCAAGTCTGCCTCTTTCACAGTCATAAGGGTCCTATTTATAGTCCTAGAATTCGTGAAACTGAACCATACAAATTTAAAGGGGGTTACAAAAATTAAGGGAAGGTTACAAAGAGTTTATTATGCTCTATTATGTGTGTCTCCCGTTTCTGCTTCATTATGTGTGTGCCTTTCGTTTCGGCTCATTTTTGCTCTTTTCGTTTCACTAAATAACATGGATATTATCTTAGCTGGGATAGATAAGGAGGATATAAGGGTGGTTATTGATCATATGTATCATTGATAGTTGTCACATGATTGATAAATTTGTGACAATTATCTTGCACACTATTGAATTGCAATTATATGAATAGTTATGACTTTGTGCTATAGTAATGTATGTATGTTTCTATATATTGCCCACTTTATATTTTCTATAATTAATTGACTTGAATAAGCCTGGATTAGAGTAACTTAGTTACTAAGTAGTTGTACTCACCTCTCTTCTTAATATTTTTCAAGCATTAACTCCAGTCAAGATAAAGGGAAAGCACTAGAGGTTTAGAAACTTAGTTTTCTATTACAGGCTTCTATATTTTGAATTATATGTGTTTAATATCACCAACTAGGAGTTTGTCTTTAGAAACCTAGGATATGTGATGTGATTAGAGTTATCTGGGCAAAGCCAAAATACTGGTGCAAGAGTGATTATAATTGCACGATGATTGAATGTTTATATTTTAAAAAATTATATGAAATGCCTTCCCCCATTGTTTTTTAGATTAAAGGGTTAAGGGTTGAAATTGTGATTTGTGTTTTAATATGATGTGGTGTGTTGCAAAGGTTGTTCTGAGTCTATTGAGTAGGGATTAGGTATTGGGTTGCCTTTTGGCACTTGGATTGGGTTTTGAACATCCGAGTTGTGTTTAAGTGTGGAAATGTGAATGGTTTGTGTTTGGGTGTATAACTCTTTGATATGAAATAATTTGAAAATGAGACTAATGTCATTAGCTATAGTTTACTGAATGAGCTTTTTGTGAATATTTGAATCTTCACAATCAAATGTCAGATAAAGATTTAGGGCACATTAGAATTTCAACCCGAGATTTGTCAAATTGATGGCTTTCGCTATCATTCAATGCACAATGCACACAACGCATGGCACAGGGAGCTTCTATCAAGGTGCATTTTCTTAACAGTGATGGATGGCTTGTTCTGTTAGGAAATAATGTTTTTGACCCGATTTTCAAAAATGTTTGCTTGTATAAATGGTATCTCATGCTTCGGTAAATGTTTTACACTGATTTAAACTTGTTTTGTTTGGGTTTAAAGTGTCTCAACTATTAAAATTTGGGATTCCATCTTTGTCTCTCTTATTGTTTTAAAAGATAAATTTGATTATTTGGCCTTTCAATAAGTTTTAATCTTAGTTTTGACACTTTTCTATTATTACAAGAATTATTTTGCCATAGTAGACATCTATTATAATTATTTTCTTTCTATTATAATAAATTCATTTAAAATGCAGTTAATTTATTATTGGTGAAATGGTATTCACTATTTAATTTGGGCTAATCCCATGATACCATGTTAGTTTTGGGTTAAATGTTGTAGTTATAAAGGTAAGATTACAATTATCCCTTTAAAAAAAAAAAAAAGAAACTCCCAACGTACCCCTACCCTCAATTGGACTCATAAAATGATAAAATATTTGTGGCCATTAAACAAATAATTTTATTTAATTGTATTATGCAAAATAATATATATTATAAATTTTTTTATAAAATTTGTTAATTTTGGAGAGTTATCGTTATCAATTATCTACAATAAAATTGTCAAAATTCAAAGAAAAATGTATCAGCCGTATCGAAAATAATTTCCATTTTAAAAAACATGTAAAATGATAATTTTTCAAAATTTAAATTGCAATTTATTAATATTCAAACAACACACGAGGTCATTGTCTAAAGATAATTTAAAAATACTATCGAAATCTGAAGTATAATTTTTCAATGTTGAAAAAACAAACTTATGAAAATTCAAAATAGGGAGAATGACTTAAAGTTCCAAAATAATAAATTTGTAATAGTTAGGTGTGAATACCGTATTTTATCCAAGTATTTTTTTAATTTAATAATAATAATAAAAAAATGAAAAATATAAAAATAAAATTTAATCCTTTTTAGGATTATATTTTTAAAATAAAAATTTAATTTAATAGAGAGGGCTTAATTTTATTTCAGATAATCTTTTTGGTTAGGATTTTATTTCTTTTAATTCATTAAAATAATCAAAAAAATATAAAAATAAAATTTAATCCTTTTTAGGATTATATTTTGACAAAATCAAAAAATATAATCTTGCTTAAATCTTTAAAAATCTCTCCTAAATTATCCCAATCATTCAAAATATTGGGAGTTAATTTTTGAGGGTTAACTTTTCTCTCATTAAATTTTATTTTTTATTAAAAAAATACATACATATATGCGTGTGTGTGTGTTAATTTCATTTAAAAAAATTAAAAGAAAAAAAAACGAAGGCTGGATGAAGCATTTCATCACAAGCCTTATGCGGAGCAGTAGATCTGATACACATACAAAAAGAAACACAGAAAGCAGACCCGCATGTGACTGAGAAGAATAGATAGCCATGCAAAGACACACACTCACACAAGCAGAAAAAACTAGACAACAGCAAAAGTAAAGCAAAAGTGTAGCATGCATGCAAAAAGCAGAAAAGCTAAGAAAGAGGGAAGAGATATAGAGAGCATGAAACACAGAACACAGCTGGACGGAAGAAAGAAGAAACCGAGAGTAAAAACAGAGCACAAAAAAACACAAAAGAAAAATAAATGTTGGACACGCACGCGAGCAAAATAGAGAAAAGTAGAAAGAAATAGAGAAGACGTGCACAACAAAGAAAAAGAGCCCGGGCTTCAACAATAAAGGGATCTCTCACGCAAAGATCTAGGGAGGAGGGAACCAGATTTTTTTGCTCATGGAGGAGAGAATGAAGGAGAAGGGGATGAAGACAGAAAAATGAAGGAAAAATAGAGCATGGAGAGAAGGAGAAACAGGAACGTTTCAGCGAGGGGAAGCCAAGAGAGGAAAACTGGAAGAGAAAAAAAATAGCAAAGGAAGAAGAGAGAGTCCGAGAGAGGATGGAGAATGAGAAGGAGATAGAGAGTGAGAGATGAGAAGGGAACAGAAAAACAGAGCATGGAGAGAAGGAGAAACAGGAATGTTTCAGCGAGGGAGGAAA